AGTTAGCAGATGGACCCTTAAAGCATCCATATGATTTGGAAAGCTCTGCTTTAGCAATGAAAGAAGTTATTTAGATCAATTTGTATTTCATTCTCCATTATGCATCAACAATAACCACGTAAAAACCTTGTAGATACCAGAGAAATCATATAAGATATCGAAACCACATAGGATCAGTGAAATTGGTCAAGCATTATAACTCGTGTTTATTGTATCTCAAAAACAGCCTCGTAAAGGTGGCTGAATAGAAATTCTCGCAGATCCCACCTTCCCTTATGCTGTTGAAAGGCATTCTTCACGTCAAATTGAAATAAGGCCTTTTGATTGCAGCCAAGGCAAGAATGTTTTCCAGTCTTTCAAGTAACGACTTCCTTCGATGTATTTTAAAGAAGTGTCCTAGCCCACAAATAAAAAGCCGTAGGAGAAATGGATCCCAAATTTATACAGACTAAATTGAATTTATTGATCATTCGAGTAAAGCCGGCCATGTTAAATAGTTATTGTACATGGTTGTTTTTGTTGGCAGAATTATATTTGTGCTCACTTTCATCTTTATTTGTAAAAGTGCATGCTATTTTTAGGTCATACACAATTCACAAGTTGAATTATTTCAAATTTATCTTTGTTGTGGTACTGCAAGTGTCTAACATAGGGTAGGAAGAAGCTTATGGTATAATGGCATTCTTAATTGTTCCTTATGCATATTTCCCGTGATTATCATTCATATTCTTGAGAAAAGTTAATAGTTTTGCAAAATCTTCTGTTCATTTTTAACTTCTGGTACGCTAAATGCTTTACCATTCCTTCCATCTAAATATTAACATTAAAGATTTAATCAAGTCAATCCAAGAAAACTCGTCTTTCGAATAATGTTTTTCCTAAGAGGGATGAAAGTATTGTTACATAATCCTCATAAGTGGTATTCCAGTGCTCCATCTCATGTCCAGAAGAAGACATTCTATATATTCAGTGTAAAGTATACACTAATTCCCTTTTCGATATTGTAGTTACCTAGGTAGTTCATCCTTGGAGTTGTCTCCTTGTAAACTCAGACGCCTTATCTTTGTATAAAGTAATCTGAACTAACCATTGTTTCTTAGAATATCTTTTTACAAGAAAATATGGCTGCATTAGAAAACTACAAGACAATCTCGGCTATGTTTTATTAGTAACATAGAATTCTGTCATTAGGATTTCAAAAATCATTCATTCCTAAAGCCAAGCCAAACCTCAAAAGATATAACAGTAAGCGGGAGGCATTAGCTTATCGCAGTTTTGAAATAAAGGATGGAAAACAAGGAAGAAATGAACACAGTAATAATTATCTTCTCATTTAAAAATTATTTCAACTATTTCACGCGTATATCTTTGTTTCTAAATTAGCAGATACATTTCTCAGGTGCAGATGAATGATATGGTAAACAGCAAAAGGAAATGGCACGGATCAGTGGGAGGAATTGTCGATGCACCAATAGCCCAAGTGTGGAGCGTGGTGTCTCAAAGTAGCAGATTAACCGAATGGATGCCAATGATTGAAAAATGCACTAATTTGGCAGGAGAGGAAGGTGCTCCAGGCTATATCCGGCTAGTATCGGGCTTCATGTTTCCCCAAAAAGATGGAGACAGGTCATGGATAAAGGAAAGGCTAGTTTTGATGGATGCTTCATCTCACAGCTATATTTACAAAATGGAAGCAAGCAATGTAGGTTTGGATGGATCTTTAAATTCGTTAAAGCTTGTGGATTATAGCGATGATGATCATGAATCAACTCTAGTTGACTGGACATTTGAGATTGATCCTGTTGAAGGTGTGTCTGAGGAATACATAATTGATTATTTAGGATTTCTTTATAAATCATGTATTAATAGGATTGAGGGTGCTATATGTACAAGTTTAGAACCTACATCCATCTAGAAAGTGCAGTGTGAGACACGCATACATATATCAGGTACAAGTGCAAGCAATCTATAACAGTCCACTCTACAGATTGTAACAGCAAGAAGTCTCCAATGGAAGCTTATGATCAGCCTATAAATCTTACATGTAGCATATATATGTTATAAGAAATATTTCAGATGTTTGTAACTTGTTTTGTAACATTTTCATTCATCGTGTATTATGTATGCTAATACGTAATTAGAGTTGAATATATTTATCATTGAGACTTAACAGTGAAAATAATAATTTAAAAGAATTAATAGGAAAAATATACATGGGCGTTTATCTCACCCCTGGTCCTTGAATTTTCGATGAAATCTAAATTGAATCTCTAAACTTAAATTTTTTTCAATTAGGTAACTGAATTTCAATCAGAAATGATGATTTTCACAATTTATGGTTTGTATGAGGGTGTCAGCACCATGATCTAAAGAATAAGTTCTAACTGAACATTAGAACCTTAAGTTCACAATTTCAGCATTATGCTTTTCCTTTGAATCAACGATCCTTCTCCAAATGATTTTTTCTTTTTTAAATGCCACATATACTTACCATTATTATTAATTTGTTTTCCATGAGTTTCTTTGTTTCTAGAATTTTCTATAAATTTCTCACATCTTCTTTAAATTTTTGAGACCAGATATTAAATTTAGATTTAATACCTCTCTAGTAGCTTTTCATGAGTTTCTAGTGAACTCATTAATTCTGCAACTGTTAGTTTATCCATATCTTTAGACTCCTCAATAGATCCAATAATTGGATGTTTTGCATGCTCATGAGCAGCTCCAACCACTCAACCCGTAGATTCTTGATGTGTTGCCTTCTGTCCTCGTCGAGAGCAATGCTAAGAACATTTTTGCCCTCGAAAATAGGGGCCTTCGTAGTGAACCAGATATGGTGATGTAGCATGAAACAAGGAATTCACACGACAACCTTTAGAATACAATTTTTGGAATCCGCCATATTATGAAAGAAGTAAACTCACAAATATTATTAATTAAAGGATGATGAAAAACAATGAATTAACCATTTATTTGTAAGGGTTTATATGAAAAACTAGTTTAAATAAACCAAAATTGAAAAGAATTCAAAATAAACTAAATAACAAAAATAGAGCTAAAATTTTAAACTCGGATTTTATTATGGGCCAAAATTAGAGTACGGATGCTCTCTTTGCACTATTACCTTTTCCCATTTTGATCCAATTTCTTTTCAATCTATTCATGGTGGTACAAACAGCAATAGCATGACAACCATGGGGTTGGCCTCAGTGCCTGAGAAATGAATTGGAGGTAGTATTGGCAAAAGATACATTAGAAGAGATGATTTGGTATATCAAAATGAGAAGACTAGTGGTTTTGGAGCATCATCTTTTGATAATCGTTGTTCAAACTTCACAGATAATTGATCACATTGGTTGACATGATTGGTTTTTACGGTTTTTAGATTCAATTGTGTTATAGAAATATAGTATGTAATAACGTTTAGTCTCCAATGCCTCTCGAATGAGAAGGAAAAATACTTTCTTTTTCATTTAGTGTTTTCATTGTTATCTTGTACGTTGTGAAGCCATGCTTGTATGAACTCATAAGCTTTTGAAAGGATTTTTTAGCCAATTTTAAGTAACAGTTATGAGTGGTTCACGTAAATTAAGATGTTAATGACAGATATAGATGACATCACTCTTACTGGACTGAATGACTTCTAACAAATAGGAGAGAAGCATGATGGGGTGAATTGTAACAAGTTTTTAGAGTAACTTACCATGAAAGGGTTTAAAGGTATTTGAAGTCGAAAAAGTAAATGAAAGTTGATCATTACATTGTTGGGTTAAATTTATTGATGCCATTGAACTTTATACTTAGTGTTATTATAGTCACCAAATTTGATTTTGTTTCATCATGACCACTCAAATTCTTTTCACTATTT